GACAACGCATCCGCCACTACATTTTCCTTACCTTGTTTATACCGAATGACGTATGGAAAGGTCTCAATGAATTCCATCCACCGTGCATGCCTCTTGTTCAATTTACCTTGTCCCCGCAAGTGCTTTAGTGACTCATGATCGGTGTGTATTACGAACTCCTTCGGCCATAGATAATGTTACCAAGTCTCCAAAGCTCAAACAAGTGCATAAAGTTCTTTGCCATATATAGGATAATTTAAGGCAGCTCCACTCAATTTCTTGCTAAAGTATACAATAGGCCTCCGATCCTTCATTAAAACTGCTCCAATCCCTATTCCTGATGCATCACACTCAATCTCGAATGTTTTGTCAAAATTAGGTAATGCCAAAACAGGTGCTTCACACAATCTACCTTTAATAGTATTAAATGCAAGTTCCTGTTCATCACCCCAATGAAACCTACACTCTTTTTAACTACTTTCGTGAGTGGTGCAGTGATAGTGCTAAAATCCTTCACAAATCGCCTATAAAAACTAGCCAAATCATGAAAACTCCTAACTTTCGTTATGCTTTTAGGTGTCGGCCAATCTCTAATAGTTTTTATCTTTTCATCGTCTACTTCTACCCCATTAGCACTAACCACAAATCCAAGAAATATAACTCTATCTATACAAAATGTGCATTTCTTAAGATTAGCATAGAGTTGTTCTTTCCTTAAAACAATTAGCACACACTTTAAATGTTCCAAATACTCTCCTAGGTCTTTGCTATAGATTAATATGTCGTCAAAATAAACCACAACAAATTTTCCTATAAAAGCACCTAAAACATGATCCATTAAACGTATAAAAGTGCTAGGTGCATTTGTGAGACCAAACAGCATAACCAACCATTCATATAAACCATATTTAGTTTTAAAATCCATTTTCCATTCATCACCCTCCCGCATACGAATTTGATGATACCCGCTTTTTAAATCAATTTTAGAAAATATGCAAGAACCATGTAATTCATCAAGCATGTCATCTAACCTAGGTATAGGGTGACAATACTTTACCGTTATATTGTTGATAGCCCTACAATCCACGCACATTCGCCATGTTCCATCCTTTTTTGGTACAAGCAAAACCGGTACCACACAAGGACTCATGCGTTCCCTCACGTATCCTTTGCTCATTAACTCCTCCACTTGCCTTTGAAGCTCCTTAGTCTCCTCAGGATTACTTTGATAAGCCGGTCGATTTGGAATGACAGCTCCGAGTATGAAGTCAATTTGATGTTCAATGCTTCGAATAGGTAGCAATCCACTTGGTGCATCCTCCAAAAATACATCGTCGAATTCCTGCAACAAAGACTTAGCCAAACTAGGGAGGGGTGGGTTAGTTTCCTCAAAATTGAGGAATGATTCCTTATAAATGAACAAGATCATCTCTCTTCTCTCAAGTACCGCCCTCCTCAAATCACTCTCTTTTGTAAAGAAATTCACTCGTGTTTTCTCTCTTCTCTAGGGGCGCTCTCTTTCTTTTCTCTCTTGTGATTGCTCTCTTTTTTTCTCTCTAATGGCTATCTCAACATTTTCTCTCTTTTTCTCCAACTTACTATTTGCTCTCATTTTTTCTAACTCTTTTACTCTCCTCTCTTCCTCACTTCTTAATTTTAATTGGTCTTCATACTTGCGCCGATATTAATGGCACAAGAGTAATGGTCTTTCCAAACTATATCGATTTTTGTATCATTCATGTATTATTCCTATCGTATTGCCATGGTCACCCCAATAAAATATGTCCCCCTTGCATTGGCACCACATCACACACTAACTCATCTTTATAACTCCCAATTGACAAATTAATTAACACTCTTCAATTCATCCTCACCTTGCCACTCTCATTCAACCATTGCAATTTATAAGGTCTCGGGTGTCTCAACAATGTTAAACCCAATTTTTCTACAAAAGATACGCTAGCTACATTAGTGCAACTACCACCATCAATTATAACACTACACACCGTATTGTTGACATGGCATCGAGTGTGGAAAATGTTATCCCGTTGCAACTCCAAGTCATCCACTTTGACGTGAGTAGTGAGAGCTCGCCTTGTGACTAATAGATCCCCAACCAGCCCTTCAACTTTTTCTTCTTCACTAACACCCTCCAACGCCGGCATGTCATCAAACTGGCCATCACTATCGCTCATAGTCTCTCCATTATCCCGCAACACCATCGTCCGTTTGTTTGGGCATTGAGAAGCAATATGCCCTATTCCCAAACACCTAAAACATTTGATGTCCCGATTGCGCGACGGTTGTGCCTCCGATTTTGATATAGGTTTGCTAGTATTTTCATCCTTGCCCTTTTGCCAATCATTTTTACCTCTAGGTGCAACCCCATTTTTGTTGTTGTTTTCCCACTTCGATTTCCAATTTTGGATTAGGAGTCGAAGTACCTAACGGTTGCCTAGTCGTTCCCTTTCTCTTCAATTACCTCTCGACCTTCATTGCCACATGTAACATGTCCTCAATTTCCACATAATGTTGCAACTCTGCAACGTTTGCAATATCCAGATTTAACCCATTCAAGAACCGTGCTATGGTAGCTTCCCGATCTTTCTCCACATTTTCCCAAATC